AACTTTGCTAAGCCATCATTAACACATGAGAACAATTTACAAATTTTGGCAGCACTATGAAAGAACGAAACAGCTGATCACACCACGGTCAAGGCCCAAGGTAAACAAGAATTTTTGAGGCCCACGGGCCGCATACCAAACGAGATACCGGAAATTTAATGGCCCAGAACTTCATACAAATGTTTCCAAGTTTTTCGACACGAAATCGACGAGACGAAATAAAACAAGTATCGGACTTGTTGCATTTTCCACATTAAAACACAGTCGCAGTGAAAGAGAACACAACTTCCTCAACACCGCAAAAAAATTGAAAAAAATAATCAAGTCCGAAAACCGTAGGCAGCATTTTCAAATCCAGAGAACAAACACAAAATTTCAATAAATACACGTCTCACCTGGTGATGTCATCTCGACGGCCGGGGTGCCCTAACCTCTCCGCAGTCCCGTCCCGTCGGCTGACACTCTCTCAACGCACCGGCCGCGTCGCGTCGCGCACTCACATGGACAACAGGGCGCGCGCGGTCGCCGGCATGCCGTGGGGCACTACCCGTCTCGGCCGCGGAAGGGGCGCCAGTTTCGTACTACTATTTTAATTTTAGCAGTAAGTCTTGTCCGTCTGCCGGGCCCGGGCCGCTCCCCGCAGTGTTTGGATCGCGAGGTTAGGAGGGAGGATGGGAGAGAGGGGAGAGGTGCGCGCGGCGGGGAAGGGGAGAGCGGGAGGGAGAAAGAAAGGATTGCGACGCCGCGGAGAGCCGCCGACAGAGCGCGGCACCCGCCGCACAGCGGTGAGTGGCGGAGAGTATCGCCGGCCGAGAGGCACGCGCCAGCGCGGGGTAACGGCGGCGCCGCGGCTCCAGGGAATGACCGACCCGCCGGCTACAGTCACGGACGGAATGAGCGGGGGCCTATGAAACTAAGGCGAAGCTTTGACGCTGGCGACATTTCTGCGAGCAAGCGAACCAACCGCACCGGGAAAAGAATAGAATGAAATCTTTAATTCAGATTGTCAATAAAAAGTTTCCAGCTATTAATGTAATCCGTTCAGTTCCCTATAGGTTTCGACTTCGACCCTTTTCGGGATGCATTTTAGAATATTTTTAAGCTTGGTGGTCTGGTCTTCGCCAAATTACTGGAGCTGGGCGCCTGCGATAATCATGGTAGGCCACCCGCCGTGCACGCATGCTGTGCAGGCAAGATGTTGCCTACCTATCAGACAGATTGCCGGTGACGTCGCTTCACGGCGTCTCGTTGCTTGCGGGCGGTCCAGAAAGATAACTTCAGAAATATTGGCAAGACCTAAATATTAGAAGACTAGTCCAAACTATGTAGCTCTATTCGACTCTCTAAGGCGAGCAAGTGTTGATTTTTTATTGAACCCAACTGGTATGAAATCTGCTAGAAGTACCGGAAGCTGATCAAACCTCTGTCATTCCCTAGCATTTCTGGCATTTTAGGACTATGCCTCGTGACATGTTGAAGGAAACGCTTGACAATTTCAAGATCCAGCAAATGCAAGGGCAGAGTAAATTGTGAAATAAAATTAGTTTGCAAATCAGAATCGGCTACGGACGATTTTGCTATGATATGCTCTGGATCGAGTTTAATCTCAAAAGACTGGTCAGGTCAGTCCGTAAATTACCAATTTCTATCCCATGGGTTTGAAGAAACATGCATATTCAAGGAACACCTGTGTGTGTGCCTGTGGTTGTGGTGGTCGGGGGGG